AGAGAGAGAGAGAGAGAGAGAGANGAGAGAGAGAGAGAGAGAGAGAGAGAGAGAGAGAGAGAGAGAGAGAGAGAGAGAGAGAGAGAGAGAGAGAGAGAGAGAGATTGGATATAGAATGCCTGCATACTTGTGTGGTTATTATCATTGATATTATGGAGGCCTACCTATGCTTGCGACAAACAGTCCAGAGTCAGTAACCACTGTCTTCACCCGAATAGAACACCCGGTCATTATAGCGGTATTTCGTGTAACTTACAGACCAGATACACCGATAATTACCAGGCGTTCTATTCGGGTGAAGACAGTAGCAGCAGCCTGACGCCAAGTCATTGACAACGCAGACTTATTGACCATGGGCTGGCCCTGAGCCTCTGTAATGCCCACCAAGTTCTAATCGGACTCTTTTTGTCTGTCACCAACCTGTGTGGACGAGGGGTTTACTCTGCACCCCAAAATCAATCACACTCCACTCCATGCCCTGCAATCCTCAGGCAATACCATGATGAGCTGTGCCTGAACCTGTGTAACACTTACCACCGGTAGAAAAAAAAAAAAAAAAAAAAAAAAGGTGGCTTAAACCACCAGTACCTACTGCATTTTTCGTAGCCCCGGCCTCGAATTAATTTGGATTGGAGGGGCAGGCCGATTCGGTTTCCGCATTAACGGCCGCCCCAACTGGTAGGTACTGGTGGTTTAGAGCACCAGTATTACTTGGCCCAGCTATCGGCCGCGCACCCGTAGGTACTGGTGCTTTAAAGCACCAGGACTCAGCCCAGCTATCGGCCGCGGGCCTTAGCCGTTAACGTGCTGCGATCTGCGCAGAAGGCTGGTGGCACCAGCCAAAACCAAAAACAAACAAACCGGTGTGTAGGGCCGTTGGTGCCTCGGGGAAACTTGGCGCAGAAGACGTTTCGGGGTGCGACATCGAGAGCTGTGCCATGTAGCCTATAAAATACAGTCACTAGCGTCTTGATAAGATACTGTTTTGCTTGATCAACATGGGTGGGCTTGGTTTGCACTTCAACCAGAAACGGTCTGCATTCCCCACCCATTTAATCCTCAAACCGAATCCGGAAACACGGGCATGTGAACTGCAGTACAACGCCGCATGCTCCTTGCTTAGCCTACTAAGTATGTGGTGTAGATGCAAGACATCTCCCTCCCTTTCCATATAGAACGATGGCGGTCCGCACTCAAATAAAATGCCCGGTGATAATACCCGTGCGACTTGTAGTCTCGATACAGTGATAACGACTGGGCGTTCTATTTGGGTGAAGACTGCAGTTGCTCCTCGCTTTTTATTTTTCTGCTCCTCCTCCTCCTCCTCCTCCCCTCCTCCTCCTCTTGGAAGTCTTTCCATGCAAGAATCCGTAAGATCTAGCGTGCAACACTTGGCGTCAGAAACTGCAACACAGATTGCGTGGTCGCTCAGGGTCTTGAAGGATGAGCTGAAGATCATTTACCATCTAGTGCCAGTCAATGTGAACAGGCACTTGGGTTTGCGCTCGAACTCTGAAAGTGGGTACCGCATCCGCCGTCCGGAGAATCCGGAGGCGCCGGGCGCCTATGGCCAGGCCTCCCTCAACAACGAGAAGGCTGAAGTTGACCGTCTCAGATCCTGGTCCCCTTCAACTCCTTCAAATCGGGGGCAGCCTGGCCCCGAAGCCGAGTGTCATGAAGATGGTGGGAAAACTTGCGTCCAAACCGATTGTTCGACTTCGAACTTGAACGCAAAGCAGGAGAGTCTCTCATAAAGCACAGTCACCACCAGTCTGTCCATATATGTGGCAAAATATGTGTGGAAAGTTGGAAACAGCTCTTCTTTCGGTAGAGGGGGTTCCTTGGGAGGGCAAAGCAGTCGGCAGGATGCCTAACTTCGTTAAAACTGAACCCCTGCCAATATTCTGCAGGGGCTTGGAGACTCTCAAGGCAACCAGCGTACGGTCATCATTATTGCTGTATCTAGACTGGAAGATGCCCCAAATGCAGCTAGAGGAGGTGGGCATTCTATTGGGATGAAGACGGTAGCCACGTGTTGCAGGCAGGTCAAATCTGCCAAGGGCTCTGGAAATGACAAAAAGTGACGGTCTGGGGAGGTTAGTGCCATGAAGAGATCTGGAAGTGACGAACCACATAACACACCTCTGCCGCGCAAGTAAGGACCTCCTCAAATACTGCAACAACTGCCCCAATAGCAAGTGAACCTACAGATTATGTATTTCCCTCAGGAAGAAGGGTGCCCCGCGGTTGATATATAGCTCCTATTGTTCACAGATAATATAGTCGTTCCCTTGTCGATTCATGGATGCTTCTCTCCTCTTCTCCACACACACACACACACACACACACACACACACACAGACGCACACACACACACACACACATCGCACGCACACACACATACACACATATGTGCTCTCCCCCCAGACACACCAGGGGTTTGGACTTCCAGTCTGCTAGGATTGCCTCCCGGTCAGACTGTTGGGATTCACAGTCATGCCTCCCGCTGCACCCATGAAAATCTGACAATTTGAAAGCAGTCTCTGGCACAGTCGTGCCCTTTTTTGTGGAGTTGTGAATGGTGAACGTGACAATTCACAAAGTAAACCATCACTAACTCTCAGGACTATTGCTAACTCTGGGTGACTTCGTGAATCTTTATCCTGTCGCAAAATTCATCATTGGTACCTGAACCTCCTGATCAGTCAGCTAACTCCGACAAAACAGTCTTGCAAAGGTCATGCTTTTTTATCGTGGAGTTGTGAATGACTGCACACACGCATGCGACACACCCGCACACATACCAGCATGCACACACGCATGCACACGCACACACACGCAGGCATGCCCGGGTGCACCCCNACACACACACACACACACACACACACACGCACATACACACACACACACACACACACACACACACACACGCATAGCATAGCATGAACCATCTTGTAAAATCCCCACACCTCTGGCTATGCCTTGATTGCAATGCCCTTTTTTTCTGGTTGGTTTCGCTGGTAACGGTATCTCTGTCACCCAGCAGGGACAAAGAACCTTGTTTTTTTTCAAACATTTTTGTCACCCTGATGATATTCATTAGCATGACCACACTCATCAGGATTTGAACTCTCATCTTCCTAACATACCAAGAGGATTGGAACTTGGAAGTTCCATCTACTTGCTGTCCTGACAGGATTGCCATGCTCAATTGGTTATACTTCCAATTGACTGTACAGGGTTGAAACTTGAAACTCTAAATTGGTCGACCCTCCACCTTTCATTTAGGTGGTCATGTTAAACCACCATTTCCCCCAACGACAGAAACCTCAGGGAGGTAGCGCCACCTAACAAGGGGTAGCGGTGGCATAGAGTGAAAAACCGGGTGAATGGCAAAGATGGAATTTGCATCAAAAATTGGAAATGTGCCGAATCGAGACGGAAATTATTTCACGGTCAAAATGTTCTTTTGTTATTTTTTTCTGATATTTTTTCTTGAAACTCATAATTGTTGAAGAATTCTTCTGAGCAAGAAAAAACCCGCCGGCGACGAACGGTCGCCGCCCCTCCGTAGACCCCGGCCCTACCTCACAGGGCTGAGGGTTTTCGACTGTCGGGGGGAGTGGCGGTTTAAACCACCACTTCCCCCGATGCAAAAAACCTCCTACTGGCAGCGCCATTTCACGAGGGGTACTGGTAGCATAGAGTGGAAAACCGGGTGAATGGCAAAAATGGAATTTGCATCAAAAAATTGGAAATGCGCCAAATTGACAGGGCGATTATTTCACGGTCAAAATGATTTTATTTATTTATTCCGATATTTTTCCTTGAAAGACCATGACCTAATCTACGGGCCCTCAAATTTGTAGAATTTTTGAAGAATTCTTCCGCACACGCAATATCGCCAAAGTTGCGGCTTTCAAAAGGCAGGCTTGGACGCGCCGGTGACGAATCATCCCCACCTCTCCGTGGAACCCGAACCTAACTCACAGGGCCAAGGGTTTTCGGCTATCGGGGGAGCACAGGGCTGAGGGTTTTCGGCTGTTGGGGAGAGTGGCGGATTTAGCCCACAGGTTTAAGGGGTATCACCAACCAGTCGTCATAGCCTCAAAAAGGGTTGCAACTTTCATCACCGGTCCAGATGTACATACAAACAATTCTCCCGACTGCAAAGCCTGCTCGTTCCTCCGTCCTACCTTAAACTCAAACTACCAGCTAACTTATACACCTGCCTGTTAGCATCTCCTGATTCTCTCCTCCACACAACATCTAGAAATTGCGAAGACATCTTCTGTGCAACTTTCCCACAACTTTGCCACAGGTAGTTAATGGGCACCCCTTTTTCGGCGCACAGGTAGTCGATGGGCACCCCTTTTCAGCGCACAGGTAGGCAATGGGCATCCCTTTTCAGCCCACAGGTACTCAATGGGCACCCCTTTTTAGCCCACAGGTAGTTAATGGGCACCCCTTTTCAGCCCACAGGTAGTTAATGGGCACCCCTTTTTAGCCAACAGGTAGTTAGTTAATGGGCACCTCTTTCACCTGAGTGTAAACCACCAGTACTCCCTAAAGCCATGCCCATTAACAAGACGTTTAAGAAAATGTACAGGCCACTACAGGAGCACCCACTACTCTATTTTTTTTTCCACGGCCAATAGTTGTGCGCAGTATTTGCAGTTGAAGGATGGGTTTCCAACAACTTTCTAGTGCCTTTCTGATGACTTCCAGGTAACTTGCCAAATTGAGGGTGCAACCCTCTCAGGTATTTCACCATCTCACCGTCGTCCTTGCATCACCGCTTTGCTGCCATCCGTCCTGTTGTACACTACATTCTGCTGCTTACCGTGGAACCATTTCCCCTTTTTAACTACTTACATTTTTTTTTCTTTCGTTTTTTTCTTTTTTGTCCGGAAAATTGATCATGTCCAATGACGGCTACGTGGTCGATAGACAATAGAACAACCAGCCAGGTTTTATGTCAGCCCAAGAAAAGGGAAAGAGAGAAATTGGCACGCAGTGGACTCATCTCTAAGGCGCTCGCCATACCACTCAGAAATCTGGAAACATTTCGTGCTGCGTCAACAGAAATTTTCGAGAGCCCCTATTTCATGAGAATTCAGCCCTCCGCTACAACTTCTCGAACCAGTTCCTCTCAAGCGTCCTCCGGGAAAGGACACACGAGCGCAGAGAACCGGGCAAACCCTTGTCCGTACCAACCTCAGGTCGACGCTCGAAAGCAAAAGGGTTTTTTCAAGATCCAGGTGGAGGCCTCCTGAAATGGCCGAGGTAAGTGGCCCTCTGGAAACACTGGAGCCGCTCCAGTGTGCAACCTGTGCTACCGTTTTGTTGGAAGCTGGATTTGAGGCATCCAGTGTCTTGAGAGTCTCACAAAGTACGGATTTTTCTGACATCCCAAACTCTTCTTTTTCATCAGAATTTCCTGAGGCTGTGTGGCCATGCCAAATTCTGGATGTTTCAAGCTTCGAGAGTGGTGTGACGAGGACTTTGCTGCGCTAGCATTCTCCCCAAAGCACAACGCACCCTCGCCATGAATATATACAAGTTCATCCTTCCGGCTTTCTACAGTCATGATGAGGGTGCCTTGTATTCAGGGAAAGAAGTACAGGCCCATGTCAACTCTAAAGACTACTTAGTTTGCCTACATCCTATCTATTTGATCGCCGACAGTGAATGGCTTCCCTGCTTTGGGACTTCCCTGCTTTGGGCAACCTGTCGATCCGTTCAGCTTCCAGTCTCATCAGACAGCTATAAGGCCAAAATGAAGAGAGGGCCACCGCGACACACCACGCCGCAGTCATTCACACCAGCTGCCTTGTCACCCTCTTGATTAGCATTGCTACCTGATTGATAATGATTACCCATACCTAACCGACAAACACCCGGCTACTGGGGAGACACTTGCCCTTCCCCTGCGCCTATATTTACCAGTTTTGGGCGTCTTGTCTGCTCATTAACTTCAACTTTCAGGCCCAAGGATGCCAACTCAGGGGTCTGCACTGCCCCTTGCACCTCGAGCCCTTCTAGTTCTTTTCTATTCTCCTCATTTCCTTCGATGAGATTCCGCATAGCCCAGAACCCCCACTCACGTAGGAATGGATTGTCGTCATCGGTCACACATTGTTGTAGCATCGTCAAAAGACCCCCATTTTGCCTTACAAGGTCCTGGTTATACTTTCGTCGGAAGCACAAGTTCCCAATGATTGCCACCAAATCACGGCGATAACCTCTAAAAGGGTCTTTATGGGGGTACCTTCCCAAACCCAAGCGCTGTTCTTGCGGCAGAGTGGTGAGCCCATTCCCCGCACCAGCTCGATCATCACAATCGCGCGCATTCCTCTCGCCTCCTCCCGCGGAATCATCTTCCGTCTTTCTCGCAGCTCGAATTCCACTTGGCGGCCGTAATGCCTGCAGCATCTCGAGCAAAAGGGGTATCACCCCTCGCTTGGACATCGAACCGGGTCTATCGTACACATCGTCAGGTCCAACCCCTGCATCTCTTGGGGTGGGACTTTGCTGAGCACAAACCTTGCTATTACTCACATCAGCGTTCTCTTGGCCATGCGCTCGATTTGCTTGGCCATTATGTTCATGGCGTATGTCAAGAGCAGACAGCGCCCTCAGGATCCTTAATCCCAACCCAAGCAGGTCGACCTCAATCACCCCTGTCAGCAGTTGCTGGGCAGGTGCATCCTGCGATTTCTCGATCTGCGATCGATCTTCAAGTGGAGAAGATGTGCGCTCTCTCTCAATTTCGCCAACACGAACAACTGTTTGCCTCACAAGTGTCAGAATGAAGGATAGGTTTTCCTCAAGGATGGCTATGGCAGACCCTACATGCTTATCGTCGGCAGTCTGGCTGCTGGAAGACTTACTTGGCTCTGTCCTGTCAATCACTATTTCACAGACAATCATTACCAGTCCGACTTGTTCCGGCGTAAAGTGCGTTGCCGGTGGGGTCAACCTTTCTTCCGTAGGGAGATTGTCGTTATCCCTGCCACAGGTCTTATCCGCAAGAGCTTGAAACAGTACTCCAAGATGCACATCGTCGACACACAAAGACTGAACAAGGAGATCTAACCATTCCCCACCACCATGAGCGCTGCCGTTCTGCAGTCTCTGATCGCTGACTGCCATGCTCTGTTCCTCGCGAGGGCACTCGCTCGGCGGTGACACTGATCCTGCAGTACTTGCCGCGGGAGGCTGCTCAGACAGGGGAGCACCCCCTCCATCTCTATTTTCCATGGTCGAATAGCCATTGACGTCCAACAGAAAGGCCTGCAAAAGCAATCTGATCAGCTTACGCCCCTCCGCAGTGTGGCAGAGTTGGCGCTTGCGCTCTGGACTGGAGAAGCAACAGCTGTATAGGATCATGCACAAGGGATCCTGGACCTTGTTGTCAGGCAGGACTCTTGCTACAGAGGTCAGGATTCCATCCATCACGACATTCCGAAACACCGCGTCTTTGTGGGCATCGCCACCGCCGACAAAGTTTCCCAAAGCTTGTAAGCCAGCTCGAAGCACATCCTTCACAACCTCAGGGTCCAAAATTGGACCAGAAGGACCAGCTCCACTCTTTCCCCGGTCCGCAAGGGTACCAAGAAGGGTTCCATTAGTTTGCTGAGAGCTGTGGGGACCACAAACCTGCCCAGGGGGAAGGACGGCAGCCAAGTCTGTTCCTCTTCCAGGTTGGCATCCTGCAGTCTGTGAAAGGGCACGAACAAGAGGCATCATCAACTCCTTGGCGATTACAACATGCGCATTACACGCAAGGAAGGCATCTTGATTGACAGCAACACCTGCACATAGGTTCCGCAAGACGCGCAGGAGGAGCATGATGGACTTGAGCTCTGGCGATGGCGACAACAATCTGGCATTTCTTTCACCTTTTACATTCTCAACCAAGTCTTGAGAGAGCTCAAGTCCATCATGCTCCTCCTCCGGAGAATCGCCAGATGATTGTGATGTGGATTCCATGGATTCCATCCATTCCAGAAAACGCGCACTCCGTGCAAGCAACACCCGCAGGACTCGCACTAGTCGTGAGATGGCTCCAAGGCACCCAAGATTCCTCCGCCCATCGGTCTGTTTTGAGAAAGCGATCAAATGATTCAGATCATCGACGAGGACACTGACCTCAGATGACATTCCAGCTCGGTTTTCAACTGCATTAAGCAGGCTCTCACCCACATTGCCGCCATCAAAGGCCTCAGCCACCATCGCCCTCTTCTCTACCACCTTCTGGATCTCCTTCTTGATCCCCTCCCTATCACTCTTATCCTGCAAACAAGAGAGTGCCACGTAGCAGCAAAAGAGGAAACCATCAGCTCATTAACATGCTCGACGCTCTTGTCGATCACGATGATCACACTAGCGAACGAATAGACTGCGATGAGGGTAGGTACTCGCAGACGAGGACACAAGGCACACTCCACCACACCCCTCCCCCCCCCCTTCTCCGTCCCCAACCACAAACACATTCTCAGTTTGTAGGGAACCTCCTTTTTGGCATCGAGGTGAGGAATTAGAAAATGCACCAGGCCATTGACACAAACTGCTGATAGACAACTCTTTGTCATTCAAGCAACAGAAATAGTATGCACAAGTAAAACCAGTGCGGCTACGCCCGTATCCATCTACAGATCTCATGGTCCATACGTGCCTCTCTCTCTCTCTCTCTCTCTCTCTCTCTCTCTCTCTCTCTCTCTCTCTCTCTCTCTCTCTCTCTCTCTCTCTCTCTCTCTC